CCCCCCCCGCCCACAAGCTCTCCAGTGGTAAAATAGCTTAGAGTAAGTAGCCCTCTGGAAGAAGTTCCCAAGTGCTTGCTTCCTGGGTTCAAGAAGAAAGGTGGGTCGTCCCCCCCCATTATGGTGGTGGCAGCTACCTCCCAAGGACAGGGAATCTGTGACCTTGGAGAGCTTGTAAGCAAAGCCCTATTGAGAGAAAGTATTTTAAGGTCTCTTATGGGCCCCTACCTTCTGCACTTGAAGTGCCAGAATGGGGAACAACCTTTACAGATGCTTTGGAGAGAGAGAGGGTGTTACTTACTTTCAAAATGATATTCTAGTGTATGGCAAAGATGACTCTAACTGTGATGTCACCCTAAAAAGGTAACAGAAAAACTTTAATGATATAGACTTACCATCATCAAGAATAAATATGAATTCCATATTGATTCAATGACATATCTAGGACATAAAATCTTTCAGAACAGCATACAACCAAAATGAGACCTAGTGAAAGTCATTTATGATGCACCAGAGCCTGACAAAAAGGACAAAATTTTATCTGTCTTATGATTGTGCAAATATTGTACGGTGATTGGCTATGAAAGTAGTTTGTCATCTTCTAAGAAAGGAAATCCGATTTGAATGGGATGAACCATGTAAGAACAGTTTAATGAGATAAAACAAGCCATTTCCACCAACCTTCCTCTTAGCCCTCTTGATTATGAGATGTAAACAATTGCCATAACTTACGCATGTGAGTATAGTCTTGGTGCTGTCTTTACTCAAAAAAAAAAAAAAAAAAAAAAAAAGGTTGGGAAGTCACTATTCCATTCACTTCCACAGTCCTGACTGATTAAACAAAACCCTATTCTGTCACTGAAAAAGAAGCTTTGGCATGTTTCTGGGCAGCAAAGCACTTCAGGACCTGAATTGTAGGAGATTTATCTTAATATCTGATCAGAAACCTCTTTCAATTTTATTGACCACATGAGCTTCCGGAACTTCAAGAATTGACAAATGGGTCATGAAAGGAATGGACTTGATTTCCACGCAATTCATCTTACAAGTTCCAAGAACGCTACTGAAGATTGTCTGTCTTCTCTGCCCAGACCTTATTGAGAGGATGCAATAAAAAAAAAAGGAAAGATTGTCATTGCCCAGATCTCAGGGAGTGACCACATAGTCTCAGAGGGGCAAGAACTAGGAGAGAAGATAAGTTACTTCAGGACCTAAATACTTTCATAGCCTTACAAAATCGTGACACCAGAATAGTAGCAACCATATACACACGTATTACATTAGTTGTCTCTTGTAAATGGATGAATTTTGAGAGTTGACTGTGTTGTTGTGTCTATACTTCTGAGAGAATGATTAAATCACCTGGCACACAAAGAACATTGCACCGGTCATGAATCTAACCAAAAAATGATAGAGACAAGACTTCTGGTGCCCAGAGACAGACAAGCATCAAGGCTTGTGCTAGTAGTGATGTCTCAGAAAACATACAGAACCTCTTTCACACTAGTTGATTGTCCCAACTGCCTAGGGGAGAAACTATTTCTTGACAGAATGGGGTCATTGGAAAGTCAGCCTGTTACACAAAGCTTTGCCATAGTAGTAATTGTAGACTCTCTTTCGAAGTTCTGGAAGTTCACTGGTGATTAAGTTCACATATCAGTCTTTGCCAGAGATGCATTTCCCATGGAATTGAGAACGTACATTGGAACGCAAGTCCCCTATGCTGAAATGCAGCACTAGCTCATTTGCAACGTCATCAAGCACAAAGTGGTTTCTTTATACCATCCTAGAGAATGGACAGACTGATGAAAGAAAGTGTGCCACTTACCATCTTAAAACAAGACCACGTAAAAAAGCTTTACGTGAAACATTATTTGCTTACAGGACCACTCCACACTCAAGTGTCACACTTTAAATTATTAAGAGGACTCAAGGCCAATACTGACTTACTCGAGGGCTTACATCTTCTACTTTTTCAACCAAACCTTCCAGTGAAACTATCTGTGGTGATGTTAAGAACAAATAGAAGATTATGAGACAGGTACTAAATCTCATACATTCAACGTAGGAGATTTTGTTTATGTGAAGCTGTCATTAAGCCAAAAAGGGATGTTCAAGATATTCATGTCCTTTTGAAGATAACAGAAATCCAAGGAGATTGTGCTATAATAATGGATGGAAAGAAAGAGAACATTTTGGGATTGTCCACAGCTCATCAAACAGCCAATGAAGAAGAGAAAGCTGATTTCCATCTTGGACCAGAGAACATTGACAACATGGTTCTTTTGCCCTGGGAAGAGGCTATGAATGGCGTGGCTGGTGGACTGACCACTGTGGGGGCCAAAGCTGCTATGTGAGAAGACCTTGCAATGCCAGACACTGTCACAAAGAGACAGGCAAGTGGTGAGTCATTCGTTAAACCATAGCACCTCATAACTGCAATGGGCATGGCAAGTACTCAGCATCTGTCAGAATTCATTCCCATTACCTTAAAAAGAATAAGAGTCACAGTCAAGGGAAGGAATTGATCCTGCACCACTGAAGTCAGTGGGCATTTTAGTACCAATTTCAATGGGTGTAGGAACAGTGCATTTAAAGGCCCAGTTTTACATTCTTCACTCCTTACTTAGACGGAACTTCCATATCCGTGGGAATCTTGCCCAAGTAAATCCTGTTGCAGGGTTTTGCCCAGTGCCACGGGAGACTTAAAAATAAATCAGTGTTATGCAACAACATCCCTTGCAGAGGTATCAAAACAACTCTCGTGACTGGTTACAGATGGGAATGTAACTATCTCCTCTTTGACCCTTTTGTTTACTGTTTTGTGAATGGAGATGAGCAATAAGGCAGACACCTGGCTTGATCACTTGGTGCTATAGCTCAGCCTCATAAAACGTTGCTTCTTTAGGTACTGCTGCTACCGACCTTCCTGCTTCTTTAACTTTTGGTGTTTGAATCCCCACTGTACTATGCAACAATAACCAGTATTCTCTGGGTAAGCTTCTTCCCTCTGGCAGAGGCAGATATTGCTACCTGTAGCCATGCAAAACAGTACCTGACTCTGGAAATAATCCTTCTGATATCAGTGGAACTACTTTAGTGTTACTCAGTGACAGAATCTGTTCCACAATCGCTGTCTATCCTTTAACTTGAGGGAAAAGACACACACAAAGTAAATCTTTGACAATTAGTTTTCTGGCAGTTTAAAGGCAGAATGCTGTAAGGCTTTTAGCATCCTTAACTCTTGCTCAAGTTGATGAAGTTGAGGAAGAGCACTTTTGAAGGATATGTTCTAAACTTTCTAAGATTATTTTAAATATTACGTTAAAATTTCCTATACAGCTTCCCATATGAGGCTGCTGTAATTTTGTCATGAATCTCTTAGGAACTACAATTTATATTTTCTAGTTTGTAAGCTTCCAATAAGGAGGACCCAGAAAGAATTAGAGGGCATGTATTTTAGTCATTGCTTATGGTTTTAAGAACCTAATCATGCTCTTTATTGAAGTACTTGGGCTGGATCCCAGGCTAAGTCTATGTAGTGCGTAGTCAAATACATAGTCAAATGAGACCTGAAGCTCTTCACATACTCCTAGTCCGGAGGCTGGCCCACTGTTGGTCCAGTCCAAAATGTACAGAGGAGCAGCCTCAGTGCTTCTGTACTTTACACTGACCAAAGAATGTGAATAACCAAGGTTAATGAACACGTAAGTCATTTCCTCTTTCACCTGGCCACACCCCCTATGCTGAGGTGATGGTGGGTGTGTGAAGAAGATGATTGCTATTGTGGGTCTATGCCATCCATAAGATCCTCCTCTGCATGATGGATCTGTGCTGGTCGGCTCTGCCAAGTTAGAGACATTTTATGCCAGCAGATCATCACCACGTGGCCACAATGTGCGAGTAGTACCAATAGCACTAAGTCAGGTGGGTTAACTAGAAGGAAGAGATATTTGCACTCTCTAGAGGTGACCCAGTGTCTTAAAACATCACCCTCAGTGTTTC